CCCCCCCCCCCCCGCCCCTGATTGTTGGGAAATAATTTCTAATTCTCCCAACGCCGAGAATTTCAGGGATATTGTTTTCGATGAATAATAAAATTGGCGAGTGTTGGGTTTTACGTTGAGCTTCGACTTCCACAACATCTGGAGATTATATTTAATGTATAAAGGCTCCCACGCGTTTGACGCCGGCAGGCACACTCTGAACCTTTATGAATCCTCGGTGAATCTCAACAATGAGAACACCCGAGGGGCTATCTGTTCCGCCATATGCATGAAAAACATTTTTTCATTATTTAATAACATCGAAGAATTGAAAATTCAGCCCAGATTAAAAAAAAATTCAATCCTCTTCAAATCTCAATATCTCCTGAACCAACGAAGCGACTTCAACGAGTCGCATCTCATTTTAAAGGTGCTTCTTTAAGCTTCAAAATGAAAAAAAAATGTTCAATTTCACTCTGCCAATCGCGAGTTATTGCCGATTGAAAACTGTCTGTTTGAGCATCGAAAAATAATTTGGTTTTCAATGTCTTACGGTTTTTTAATGCAAAAAGAAGCTGCAGACCACTCGAGTCGCAAGTCAAAGAGGCGGATCTGTGGAGTTGCTGGCTTGAAGATCGTGGGTGAGACTTTTTTTTTTATTCCTCCAGTGCAAACCTTTCCCTTTTGAATGGGAACCCGGTGTTTTCATGCCTGCACACATGAGACGATTTTTTACTCCTTCAAACATCTGCTAAAAGATGAGTGTGGACACTTGGTGAATTATTTTTTCAACTGCAGTACATCATATTTTGTAGTTTTTTAATATGAAGGCCACCGGAGTCGTCAACCCCACGTGTACATTATATGTTAACGCGACTGTCGGCACATGCGACCCATATGGTACGAGGGCAACAAAAGGCCAGAATAAAACGCCCGATGCAAACGAGTCGTGCTGTCCAGTGACTCACTTGTCTCGAAAATGAAGAAAATCCCGTCAATATTTAGCACGCCAAGGCAAAATTGAAGGGAAAATTGATACGTGGGAATGGCGAGGGCAATTGCAGTGGGAAGTGAGTCAGCAGATTGTTTAAACTCGAGTTCACGAGAGCCCTCTCCTTTAATATTTCCCTCCGCATAACCCTCCTGCTATTTTAGCTTATCTTGCGGAAGTTGATCCGGATATTTGCAGGGATGGAAACGGATACGGTAAAAATTAAGGTAGAAAGTTAAACGTTTAATCTTTGAAAAATTGGAATTGGGAAGTAATTTAGGAGAGCCATATTCAGATAATTTTTTTCTTCTATTACTCAAAAAAAATTATTGCGGGTCAAAAAGTTGTGAGGGTCAAGTGGGAGAGACGAGTGGACTAGGCACTTGCTTCGTCTCCTCCGTTTGACCCTCTTGACCCCTTCCCCTCTCTCTCCCATTTGACCCTCAAACAGTCTGAAAGGTCAAACGGGAGAGACGAGCAGAATAATCAAAGGGCTCAAACGGTCTTGAGGGTCAAATGGGAGGGACGAGCGAAGTAATCACTCCACTCGTCGCTCCCATTTGACCCTCACGACTTTTTGACCCGCAATCATTTTTTTGAGTAATAGAAAAAACGTCGTCTGAATATTTGAATT